ATCTTTTTGAGATAGGGTCTCAGTTGGCCTAGAACTCACTATGTAGACCAGGCTGGCCTTGAACTCACAGAGATCTGCCTGCCTCTGCCTCCTGAATGCTGGGATTATAGGCGTGCGCCACCATGCCTGGCATGCATCTACCTCTTAAGTGCTGAGATTACAGGTATGTATGGCTTTTTTTTGTACGCCTGTGCGTGTTCATGCATGCGTGAATGTGTGTGTATATGTTTTAAGACAGGGTCCCACCCTGTTGCTCTGGCTGGCCTGGTGCTGCATATCTGGGGCTGGCCTCAAATTTTCAGCAATCCTCCTGCCTCAGCTTGTGTTTGTTTTTGCTCTGTGACGCCCCCCCACCACGGTAGGAATTGAACTCAGGGCTTTACACATGTTAGAAAAGCACTCTACCACTGAACTGTGTTCCCAGCTCCAGTTTTCATCTTTTGAGACAAGGTCTCATGTATCCCAAGCTGGCTTTGAACTTGATATGTAGCTGAAGCTGGCCTTGAACTCTTGACCTCCTGCCTCCACCTTCCAAGAGCTGGGGTTACAGGAATGTGCCACCACACCTGGCCATGTTTCTCCTCTTTCTTTTGCTCTCTGATGTAGTGTAGTTGCCAGAGACTGGAGAGGATTCTGTGGCTTGCACTGATTCTATCACTCAGGCTGGTGTGGCCCGCCAAGACCCCCAGGCATGACTGTGGGTTCCCTCAGCCCTGGAGACTGACTTCCCCTGGTACCTTGTCGCTGCTGGCCTCGGTGCTGGCCTGGGCCATGGTGAGCCGCAATGTGGTGCTGGGAGAGAGGGCCCAGCGCTGCTTGCCGTTGGTGACGACTTCCTCCGCTTCCCCATCACGTACCACCTCCACTTGTACACCCTCCGAATGCTTCAGGCTGAAGGTTTTGGCCCCTGCTGGGGCTGCACTGTAGGGAGAGAGGACAGAGGGTCAGGGGCGTCTGGGCTGAGTGGGACAAGGGGCTTCAGCCAGAGACTTCCTGAGGGCCAGGGCTCCCAGGCTATGTGGCCTAGAGGACTGTAAGGTGTCCAGCTATGCTGCTGCTGAGTGGGGGTTTGTGAAGGGCAGAAAGGCACAGATTCCTACAGCAATCTTACACTTGCTAAATTGGAATGTTCTAGGGTGGGGCCTAGGGACTAGAGCTCTCTTTCTCTCTTTGTTCCTTCTTGCCATGTGGGTGCTGGGAATTGAACCCAGGTCCTCTGCAAGAGCAGTCAGTGCTCTTAACTGCTGAGCCATCTCTCCAGGCCCTATCATTGTTATTTTTAGACAAGATCTCTATCTCTTTATGCCACCCAGGTTGGCCTCAAAGTCACCATCCTCCTGCCTCAGCCTCCTGCATGCTGGGATTCCAGATGTTAGAGCCATACCTGGCTTAAGTCCTCAATTTTTATTTATTTATTTTTTTCAAGGCAGGGTCTCATTGTAACCCAGGCTGGCCTCAAATTTGCTATGTAGGCAAGGATGGCCTTGAACTTCTGATTCTCCTGCCTCGACCTCCTGGGATTACAGGCCTGTGTCATCACACCTGGTTTATGTGATGCTGGGAATCAAACCCAGGGCTTTATCCATGCGAGGCAAGCACTTTACAAACTGCTACATCCCAAGCCCAGCCCAAGCCTTGGCTTCCTGAAGTAGTTTCTTTTGTCCTCTCTCTCCTTCCTTTCTTTTTTTCTTTCTTTCTCTTTCCTCCCTCTCTCCCTCCCCCCTCCCCCCACCACTGTCACTGGGGACTCACCAGGATGGAGCCTGGAACTGTAGGGGCAGGTAGGTAGCTCTATCGCAAAGGACCCCAGGCCTAGAATTCTTCACTATCTGAATCATTCCTTGGGACTAAGCAATGGTTTTCCATTGAAAGGGAACTGGTTTGGGAATTCTGAAAACTCACTCAGGGGAGGGAAGGGAATTGATCTGGGCTGACTGCTATGTACTGAAGTTTATGTCCTCCTAAATTCATGCACTGGGGCTCTGATTCCACTGTGATGGGATCAGGAGATAGGCCTTCAGGAAGTGATGCCGGTCATATGAGGCCATCAGGGTTCTAAGCTGATAGGACTGGTGGCCTTTTAAGAAAGTGGGGATTGGGGGTTGAGTAGATGAGAGTGCAAGCAAGAGCCAGGGAAAAAGAGGCCTTTGGGAGGTGGCATCGGCAGGGGCAGGCTCTCCCCAGGGACCCACAGAGGAAAGACCATGTGAGGCCAGGGTGACAAGGTGTCACCCATAAGCAAGGGACAAAGCCTTTTCCAGCACCCTATCAGGCTCGCACCCCGATCTTGCCTTCCAACCTCCAGAACTCTGAGAGGACAAGCTTGTTTCAAAGCTGCTGACCTGTGGGGCTTGGTTACCACGCCAGAGCTGACTGAGACGCTGCCCTACATAGAGAGGCACTCAGGGTCGACAGTTCTGCTAAACCCAGGACCAGGCCTGAAGGTTCCTAAGGCCACAGAGGGCTCAGAGGGATCTGAAGGGATTCTCGAGGGATTTGAGACTATGATCTTGGCCCGAGTGTGTCTCAAAGATGCAGCTGCTCCGGGGCTGGTGCTCCAGTTCCCAGCATCTCAGCTCCCCCAGGGCACCAAAACCATCTGGTGCTATTCAAGTCTTCACGATGTCTTTCATTTCTTTTTCCTTTTTCTTTTCTTTTCTTTTCTTTTTTTTTTTTTTGCTTTTTGAGATAAGAGTCTCCTTGCCTATCTTAGAATTCACTAGTAGACCAGGCTAGCACTGAACTAGCAACTCTCTTACCTCTGCTGGGGGAGCTGGAATTTAAAGTTCCACACCCAGCTTTAAATCTATCGGGCATTTTTTCCCTAAGGCTGCAGACTTGTGGGTCTCATTTCCTGAGAGGCTGGCTGGCATGGCCCAGGTGAGACAGGGGTAGCTGCTGATGTGACCAGGGGCCCAGGCTGAGCAAGGGGCTCCAGCTTGTGACTCAGACTGGGTCAGCAGTTACAGCAGCAGGGGCCAGGGATCTCCTCCAAATGCAGATCGCTGAGCCTGAGAAATCTACATTTTTAACATGACTCCAGCAACTACTAGAACCAAAGTTTGAGAACCACTGGTGTGACCTTCAGCAGTGTGGTCTGGTAGTTCTAGCTCTGGGGTGGCCATGGCGGTGGGTCTGAGTCTGTAGCGAGTGCCAGGCAATTAATTGCCTCTTGGCCTTTTGACTGAGATCAAGTGGAGGTAGCCAGGTATATTCTCTCTGACCCAGGCCAGAGTCTGTGAGCTTGAGATCAACAGCTGAGAGACAGAACTCTGGCCTAACATGCACAGGGCCCTGGGTTCAATCCCCAGGACTGGAAACAAAACAAAACAAACACTGAATCATGACCTGTAGGGCCTATTGGCACAGATCTCCTGGTTTGGGGCACTGGAGGGGACAGCAAGCAGGAGTCTGGAGGCCCATTATTAGTACTGATAGAAGAGCTTATAAAAGCATCAAGCTAGGCCTAGTGGCCCAGACCTATAATCCCAGCTACTCAGGAGCATGAGGTAGGAGGATGGAAAGTTTAAGGTCAGTTTGGGATACAGAGTCAGCTCAAGGCCGGCCTGGGCAACCTGGCAACCTCCGCTTGATCTCGGCCTTAGTGAGGCTCTTTATCACAATAAAAAGTGGAAAGAAGGCCGGGTGCACCTTAGTGGTGGAGTGCTTGTCTAGCATGTATGAGGCCCTTGGCCTCCATCCCCAGTCTCAAAACCAATCTGTTTTTCGTCCCTGTGCTCCACCTTCAAGAGTCCTCAGGTCAGGGGACACTGGGCTGATCTGAGGTTTGACACTTTTCTATTTATTTTTTAATTTAACTTTTGCATTTTATATACAGTATAATTTGATGATATTTAGATCCCCTTCTCTACGCCTCCATTTATTGCCATGCCCAATTACATATATAATAATAAGGTCCAATTATATATATAATAATATATATTACATATATAATAAGGCCTATAGAGTCTAATTAGTCAAATGTCCTTCAGTGTGGGTCCATCCACTGGAGCCTGGTTAACCTACTAAGAGTCCCATCCTTGAAAGAGACCGTCTCTGCCCCTCCCAGCAGCCATCTGTGGCCACAATTTCCTTAGGTGGGGTTGGGAGTTTTTACTCATTTCCTCATATCTATGCTGGGGTTTTGTCTGTTTTGAGCTTTCATGGGACTTGTGCATGCTGTCACCATTGCTGTGAGTTCATATGAGTAACTAACCAGCTGTCTGGAAAACTTTGTTTCCTCGTGGTCATCTACCACCTCTGGCTCTTACAATCTTTCTGCCTCCTCTTCCGAAATGATCCCTGAACCTTGGGAGACAGAAGTTTCATATAGGTGTTCTATTCAGGGATGAGCACTCTGCAGTGACGCTAAGACACTTGATGCTTGTGGCCAGCCACCTTCCATCTGTGCCCAGCAGTGGAGAGCCAGAGTCCAGGTAAAACACTGGATAAGGGATATGTGTGTGGGAGACCTAGTTGGGGCCAGTTCTGCCAAGACTTACTTAGGGAGCTCGAGCATCCCCTTGTCCCTTCTGAGGGTTTTTTTCCAGTGCGTAAGACATAGGATGACCCCCAGTCCCCCTGCTCCATGCTGCACCCCCATCCCTCACAAGGCAGGTTTCAGCCCCCAAGGCAGCATCTCACTTCTTTCATCCTCATCCTTATCCTGCAGAGCCACATCACCTAACCAAGAGGGTGAGCCCAGCAGGCTGGAAGCCATCCGTGGTGAGGCACAGGGACTAGGGAACAGTAAAGGAGGAAATATGCTTACGTGTCCATTGAACAGTGTCTTTTATCCCAATGCTATACAACATCGGTGTAATCTAAAGATGCTAGAGCTGGGTGTGGCAGTGCACTCCTTTAGTCCCAGCACTCCAGAGGCAGAGGCAGGTGGATCTCTGTGAGTTCAAGGCCAGCCTGGTCTACATAGCAAGTTTAAGGCCAGTTGGGGCTACAGGGAGACCCCATCTCGAAAAGACCAAAAAAGTAAATAAATAAATGAACTAGAAAAATGGGAGTTGGCCTAAAAAATGTTAATAGTGGGTCGGAGAGATGGCTCAGTGGGTAACAGTGCTTCCCACCAAGACTGACAACCTGGGTTCACTTCCTGGGATGCACATGGTGTAACGAGCGAACCAACTCCTGTAAGTTGCGCTCGAATCTCCACATACATGCCATGATATATGCCACTTCCCTCAAAATAAATAATGAAATGTAACGTAAAAGATGTTGGGGGCTGGAGAGGTGGCTCAGCAGTTAAGAGTACCAGCTGCTCTTGCAGAGGACCCAGGTTTGGTTCCCAGCACCCACATGGCGGTTAACAATGGATGATAATTCCAGTTCCAGGGAATCCAACATCCTCTTCCAACCTCTGTGGGCATTGCATGCAGGCAATATACTCATACACATTAAATAAAAATAATAAAATATTTGAAAATAAAATAAAACATGAGCAGTGCTACAGATATAACAAGGTTTGTTTTGGTTAAAAGCATGAGTCTTAGAAATTGCAGATGCAGACCTGGGAAAAATTTGTTTCGGCTGAGTCTCAACTTTGCCCATCGTCTTGCTGTGTGGCCTTTGGAATGTGGCTTTCCCTCTCTGTTTCACCTGTTACATGGAATGGAACCTGGCCAGGGGCAGCTGGCATACAGAAAGAGGGGCAGGCTCTGGGTGGGGAGGGGGTCCTGGCAGGCAGGACCACCCTGTTGAACCCCTGTCTTCCTTGAACTGAAGCCACTTCATCTGCCTTTGCACATCAAACTTCTATATGCAGGCCTGCTGAGAAACTGATGCTTTACAAACCCACACAAGGGTAGAGGGCACAAGCTCTTGGGACCCTGTCAGTTACTGTACCAATGCTGTCTGCCTGCCTCCATCCCTCTGAGGCAGAGAGAAACCAGAGGAGCTTCCAGAAGGTT